CTTTCCCCCCCCTTTCCCCCCCCCCCCATTGTTATTTGCCTTCTCTAACTGCATCAGATTCTTGTAGGTGTTGACTTTTTAACATTATTTTTAGCGATGTACTCTGCTAAAGATAAACATTCCCCTTTATTGGATCCTTCTTTCAGCATTGGATTTAGGTCTGCATTCTCCTTCATTGGCTCAAAAGTGTAGTTTTCTTTTTTCACTAGGGAAACTCACTTAATCTAATCTGTTTTTTCATAATATCCGTCACTTCACTGAGATAGAGATGTGCTTATAATCCTGTAATTTTACTCCAGGATCTCTGCTTCTCCTTCTTTCAACAGAGGTTAGCTTCTGGAGAAAGATTAATTAATAAAGCAAATCCTATATTTAATTTGAAAACAGTTAAGCTCCTACTCATTCCTGATTTTTAGGCAATTATATAATTGAGAACCAGCTGCTGAAAGTTGATTCCTGCTTGCATAAATCCTATTCTATAGCTGTTTCGTGTTGTAGAGCTTTACACATGTTTTAGGCAGAAAATAGTTCCATATACTGTTATGTTAATGTTTTTCCAGTTATCCTGAAGGCAAGGAAGGTAAGAAATGAAATCTATCATTTGATCCTGTTGAACTTGGAGGTAGTGTAACAAGAAGGCTGAAGCAATGAGTTGATGTCTACTTGTGAATTTAGTGAATTATTATGCTCTGAATGCTTGTCGAGCCAGAGGTTTCATATTTAAGTTTGCATTGAAAAAAATAAAACTCTTAGAAGTCCATAAGAAAAAAAAAAACCCGGTCAGAATGTAATAATGAGCTTTACAGCTCTGCTATATTTTCTGGAAGAAACATTTCCTTCTATTCTTCTACCACACTCAAGGAATCTTTCCTTTTTCTTTTCACTAACTGTCCTGCTGTTTACATGCTATTCCCTAGCTACCTTCTCCAGATTGCTTTAACTATTTTATATAGTTGTCCTTTCTAACTTATCTCCTTTCCATACTAAACTGCTCATCGTTATGCAGAAATTTTTCGATGTCTGTGATTGTTGGTGGTGCCCTTTTTTATACATCACCTTGCTCCTTCCCTGGAGAAAGAGGGTTCATCTTGTTTGGTACAATTCATTTTTCCTGCTTTTGGGCAGATCTGAAGAGGCATTACTGAGCACATTATTATTTTACTGATGGGAATTACTTGTTTTGTGCCAATGTTTAACTAGCTGGAAGTATCTTATTTTTTTTGCCACAGAAATATCAGTGGGAGTCTTGAGCTCAGGTGGACTGGATGTCATTGCTGTGCTTATGTTGGGTACTGGTGTTGGTCTGTGTACCTTAAACAGAAGCCTGTCAATTTAGACTATTTGAGTACTGATGACTGAAACACTCTATTGCTGCACTGGGAAGTCAGCTCTGATCTCAGTCTTTCTAAAACCAGTGGGCAAGCAGAGAACAACTGTGTTAATGTAATGTTACTCTGACACTTCGCATAACTGTGTGTATTCTTGAGATTTTACTTGCTCTCTATACCTGACAGCCAAAATATGCTACCCTTACTGGCAGCTTAATGTAAGTAACTAAATTAATTTCTTGAACAGGTTTACAAGGAATCATTTGAACAGAGGTTTCTGGAAGAGACAAATTGCTTATATGCTGCAGAAGGCCAAAGATTAATGCAAGAAAGAGAGGTAGGTGCATACTGTAGATGATTGCTTTTAGGCTAGTTTTATCTGCTAGTGAGAACTTCTGGTAGTGCCATGGTGTATTAATGCTCGATGAAATTCACTGGTGCCCAGGTACGCAAGCACACATTCACAGGTTTTGATGTGGACCAGAGTACTGTATCGAAGCATCCAGATTGCCTTCGTGTTTGAAATATATAATTAAGGGTGGAGAAACGCAGTGACATTTTGTGTAGCTGAAGTCACACTACCAGAAAGTAATTTTCACATAAAGCTTAAAGGTGTGCCACCAATATTATTTTTGCCCAAGAGCTGTGAAATATCCTCTGGCATCATTCTGCTATGTGCTTAATACCTAAGTAAACCATTTACTTCTTTACTCTGTCGTTGCATTTATTTTGTTTGTTTTGTTTCTTTTCCTTATTAGTTAAATAGACTTAAGACATTTTTGTTTTCTGTCCTCTTGACATAAAATTATGCTCTGCAGTGGACAGCCTGCAAATGTGGTTATCTCTGAAAATGTATATCAGAAGCTGAGTTTTGTGGTGGTCTAAAATACAGAAGACTACTTTTATTAATTCCATTTTAACATTGAGTCACTACAGACATTTCGAAAACGCCTGTTTACACTGCACTGCGGTGAATCCTTGTGTCTAATCCTGCTCCATTCACCTCATTGCCTCGCATTCCACTGGGACCTGAGGTGAAATGCTTTGACACAGATTTTGAGACCAAGAGTCTTACTGCTTTTATAACGCCTAGTGGAAAACTGTGGAAAAAGACAAAAGGAGTAAGGCCCTAACTTATACAATGTATACATGTCCATATTTATGCATGTGCACATAATGCATACGCATATATGTATATACATGCATATGTACATGCATATGTACATGCATGTGTGTGTGCCTGCATGTATGCATATGCACATATGCATAACTGTTTTGATCATTTCAAGCCTGAGTTTCATACCTGTGTTGTAATATGTGCTAAATGTGTTAACTCTCCATAGGGACAGATATTCCACTGGAGAAACTGCCATTGAAATAATGGAACTATATGGTTCACACTAACTGAAAATCTCCTCCATGATATTTTAAGGGCTAGCTTAGCTCAGATGGGTTTTGAGAAAAAAAATAACTTCCTCTGAAAAATTCTCAGATTTCTGTTTTTCTCTTTTCTTTCTGTCAGGTGCAGTTATAATACTTTTAATATAAAATAACAGTGATTAATAAAAATATCAATTATGTACTACATAACAACATTCTGGTGGAATAGGCCTTTCCAATTTGTATTCTCTTTAAATTTGTAGTTTAAAATAATTGTCATGGAACAAGATCGTCTGCCGTTCATACTTTTGTCGTTAAACTTGACATTCTCTTGCCTTACTAGGTCCCAGAATATCTTCACCATGTTAATAAACGTTTGGAAGAAGAAGGAGACAGAGTAATAACATATTTAGACCACAGCACACAGTGAGTACAAATTTTGTCATTCTTAGCATAAATCAAGCATCCATCATAAAACAGTGTGATTATCCGCAGTTGTAGAGAGACAGAGATTATTTCTGCAGTATCTTACAGACATTATCTTGTTGACAGTGCTTGGATACAGTTTGGTTTTTTTGAGACTTTATTTGTATCAAAACTGATTTCTTTGAAATCAAAATACACTTTGCATAAGAGGGGAGAAATTTGTCCAGAAAGATTTATCAGCGTATACTGAAGGTAACGAAACCTTATATAAGAACTCAAATTTGCATTATCAAAGTAGCAGCTGATTTTAGCCATTCATATACGGATAACAAAATTAACCACAAATCCCTTGAGGGAAAGAAAAGACTCATTAGGCAAAAAAAGAAAAGAAAAGGTTAAATTATGGCATAGGATAGCATGAGCAGTCCAGGATGTGAACTTAACAGTAGATCAGCTTTGGTGCAGCTGCTGCCAATGTATTGTGCAAGGTAGCTTGTCCTTTTTTCACTCGGGTGTTGAGTAATAGTGTGTGTTTTGCTGGGGTAAGAATCTGCGTTCAGGAAGTACTGCAGAGTCACTGACATGCTATAAATCCATACATAATTTGTCCTGCAGTAAGCTGTTGCTTTTTTTTTTTTTAAATAAAGAACATTTTATTTTATTTTTTAGTTTTCTGGATGACATATTGGCATTTCATTGAGTGTTAAAAGGATAACTGAATAAAAATTATCTTTTAACTTATTATTTTCCTCAGACATATTTTATATATATATACTCACACATACGTGTTGCGTGTCGTCGTACATATTTGAACTTGAATCTTCTTCCTGTAAATGCTGATTGCAGTGTGACTAGCTTTTTCTGGCAAAATCAGTCACATTAAAATATATGGATCTGTTTCTATGTATAAAGCTAAAGCGTGTATATATATATATTTGTTTAAGTTAAAAAATAGGTTGATATCATTATATTTTTAGTCTAGATATAAGTCAAGTCCTTGCTTTGAATCTCGTCCTTAGTTAAAGGCTTAGAAACCTACTTTTAGAAGGCTTCACACTAATTTCCTTTCTTTGCATTAAGAAACAGCAGATCTTAAAATTAGTGCCCTTGAGTTGTCCTCAGGTCATACTGTCTCTCCGGGTGTGCATGAAAAGAGCAGAAAGGATGTTAAATTTAGTTACTGGGTTTGATCTTGAGATGGAAATGATACTTCCAGGACAAAACCGTCATGAGAAACACCATTCAAAATACTTCAAATCAGATTTATGCAACACATGGAGAGCGTGTTGTTGCAGCCCATTGAGGGATTTATTCAGCCCATCAGTACATGCCTCTTTCTGGACAGCTGACCAGAATAAGCGTGTCTCCTGGTCAGTCAGTAGATGACCGAGGTAGATGACTTTCAGGCTGTACAGAAGGTACCCTCAGGCTCATTCATCAGCTAGCAGTCAAGATAAATACTCTGTCTGTCTGTCTGCTTGTTAGGAAATAGTGCTCTGCATCTCAGTCTCAAGCAGACAAATTGTCCTTACTTCCCCTGTAGGCAGAATAGGTGTTCTGGGGCAAAGCATGGTATTTTATACAACCATGACTACTTCTACTGTTGGAGACAGTCAGCAGCTGTAGAGAGCAGTAGCTGGAAATTTCAGGGAATATGAAAGTGACCATAAAAATGTCTGTATGTGTTAAGACCAAGAGTCTGTCTAACTGGTATTTCATGTTTGCTTACAACCACTAAAGGGAAAGGATGGAGAAAGTATGTGTGATGCCCTGACACTCTCTTAGTATCTGTCTGTTTTCAGCTCAGGGTATTTTCTGAACTTGATGTGGTTTATCTGTTTTGATGTCTTTCAAATACTTGCACTGTCTCACTGGGACTCAATAAGCTTTTCCATCTGTGCCAGCCTTTGGCAAAGCATTCCACCAGTGCACTAGCCACCAGGTGATAAATTGCCTCCTTTTGTTTAAGTCTGGCTCCCAATACCATCACTGATGACCCCAGTTCTTGTATGGGAAGGGAAAGTGATCAGTCGGTTCCCTTCCAGCTTTTCCCTGCCTGTCAATGCACTGTATCCCTGCTAAGTCATCTCTTTCCCAGAAAGAAGAGTCCTAACATGTGCAGTTGTTTCTCTTGTAGCTGCTGCTGCATACTTTGATCATCCCTGTTCCCGTCTCTGAACCTTTCCAAATTCTAATTTCATCTTTTTGAGATGAAGGGACTAAAACTGTGTATTGTATGGAAGGTCAGGCAAATCATTGGTGGGGTGTTTCAGGAAAGGTGGTGTTTTAGCAAAGGTAGAGATATAAAGTGGATGCTGCTATGTAAAAGGCTTCTATCAATCCAAGTCGAGCACCTCTCGTCTAGAAAATCTAAATTAAGGGTCTGAGAACCATTTTTATAAAACTTAACTCAGAAAGAAATGGTTGGTCTTTTGTTGTCATATTGTAAGCAGCGGTAGAAGTTTAAATGTTGAAATTAATTATCCCTTTGCACTTTAGGCATTTCTTTCTTCTTTTAGTTTACAAAAGATGTAAAGGAAAACTTGCCATTATTTTTCAGTCCTGTTTAAAGTGAACGTATCAAAAAAAATTTCATTAATAGCAAAGAGCAGGGAAAATTCAAGGACAAACTTAAAATGTTTTGCAAATTTGAGTCTTGTGGTTCTAACTCAATTTATGCTTACGGAGGTCCACAACACAATTAGATGAAAAGTTTGAGTTTTGAACATCACCAGCATGAATTGTGTTGTTTTGGAGTTCAAACCCTTGGAGGTTTTTGTTTGGTTGTTTTGTTTGCTTGTTTGATTCCAAGAAAACATCAATTTTTTTCCAGAAACATTTTTGTATTGATTTTTGGTGTCCAAGCTTCTCTCTTCTACTGTGTAAGAAATTGCTTTTTAGTATTCAAACCTGAATTTCTTTTTTAATTACATACATGGTTTATTGATTTCTTTCTTGGCTTCTATCACGTGACATTTTTTTGTCCTAATTTGTAGCCTCTGTCTTAAGAAGGAAATTGTTGATTTTTTTTTTTTTTTTTATTATAATGCAAGTTATTCACAAATACACTGTGACAGGAGGCAACTCCCTTATACTCTAATACTTCTAATATACTTTTCTTGCCTTATTTAGGAAACCACTGATTGCTTGTGTGGAGAAACAGCTACTAGGAGAACACTTATCAGCTATTTTGCAAAAAGGTATTTTTTTTTTAAATTAATGCAATCTCCGATATGCAACAGATTCTCATACTCTGCAATAACTATAAACTCCACAGCTTTTATTTAAGGAGGTATACTAGCCATGGGAAAACCTTCCAGAGATACAGAAAGCCAACCCTATGACTGTTACACCCACTGTGACAAGTAAATTGTATATGTGGAAACAAGGATCTAAAATATAATTCCATATTTGTAAAGGTTGCTAAACCCCCTGAATCTCCTTTGACTTGCAGCAGTGAGCTTAGGAATTAAACCTTTGGAACTGCTTATTTCCTAGAATTATAAAAACTTCTAAATGAGAGCTGCAGTTACTGTCGTAGCTGCTTTTATGTGATAACCACACAGCTCAGTTGCAATAGCTTCACATATTCTTGTGATTGTACAGTTCAAGAATCATGGGTTATTGGAACTGACAACATTCCAAGGCAATGAACTTTCATATGCTTTTGTCTGTATTTTGCCTTCTGTCTGGCAATTTCAGATGAGAGCTGCAGTCGTCTTAGGAAGTCCTTACTCAGACATTAATGTCTTCAAATCACCATTTCTTAATTCCTCTTAACTTCTAATATCTCCTTTTTTCGTTGAATTTCTGGGTTTGGTCAGTATTCCCTGATCTTTTAATACTTTAAACGATCTTTTCTTTTTCTTGCAGTAGCCATATTTTAGGTTTTAGATCTTCTAGCAAATTGTCCTTACATCTTTGTTTCCTTTACTGCTGCAAAACAGATGTCCCTGGTAGCGTGGTATCTTCGAGCTCTATCACGTCCATGTTTGTTAGTGCCTTCAGGTTGTTACATATACCCCTTTCACTTCTTGCTTCATCCCCTTTAAAGATAGACAAATGCTCACAGTTTTCTTTGAACTACTCTGGGAGTAGGTTATTTCGCCGTTTTCAATGCATTTATAAAAATAAGCGTGGTCACTCTATCTTAGCTATTCTTAAGCTTATCATAAACAGAAGGTAAGAATAAATATTTTTTTTTGTTATATGTCAATTTTGCTTGCTCTTTAATTCAAATATTATTTTTAAGTAACTTTTCCAGTGACACATTTGTTTATCAGTTGGCTTAACCAGAAAGTATGTGGTCTTGTTTTAACCCAATTTTTTTCTTGGTTTGTAATGTATATGTACCATCCATGTAAATATGGAGACATTGGTACATTTTTCTAGTTACTACGTTTTAGGACTATAGTGTTGTTGGATCAGCTTTTGCATTCTATGTCTGCACTTTTAAAAAAAAAAAAAAAGGAAAGAAGAAAAAAAAAGAATGTTTATCAGTTGGCTTAACCAGAAAGTATGTGGTCTTGTTTTAACCCAATTTTTTTCTTGGTTTGTAATGTATATGTACCATCCATGTAAATATGGAGACATTGGTACATTTTTCTAGTTACTACGTTTTAGGACTATAGTGTTGTTGGATCAGCTTTTGCATTCTATGTCTGCCCTTTTAAAAAAAAAAAAAAAGGAAAGAAGAAAAAAAAAGTAAGTCTAACATCATTTGATTTGCATAACTTTCCGCATTCATTTCATCCAGGACGCACTGTAATTTGCTTATAACATCCTAGTATTCCATGCAAGTAGAAGAAGATACTGCCTTTTGTAGGTTTTCTTCCTTAGGAGAAGGGATGTGATGTAGTCAGTTTGATACAGGGCGGGGAAAAAGCTTACAAATGCAGGGTATGTATAAGAAACGTTTTTTTCTTGTATTATTACAACTGCCATTGAGTAGCTATTGGTGGTTTTTTTTATTGTGAGTATAATAAATTTTTCCAAGGCTGTGGCAGTGCATTCTGGAAGTTGTGTGAAGCCTTGTCTTGGAGGATTTTCCTATATGTCTTTTTCATTTGTCAAGAATGCAACAAAATAATTATGTCAGTCACACAGTTCATATGCCAGAGGAAGAGGGAAGGTTAAACTTTATAATCCAGGTTATAACAAAGCATTTAGTGTACTGGTGTCTTTAAATGAATAGGAGGTGATGCTTGGATGTGATGGAATGGGCATTTCTTAATTCCCTGTTCAGTGCCAAAAGAACACCAGTAAAACGTGTTCACGACTTTGTAATCTCTTGTCTTACATACTGTTAAAGTATGTCCATTCTTCTGATATCTCAAAAGTTTAGGCATATCTCAAAGTTTAGGAAATCTTAAAATATCATGCAAAAGTTTACCTGACATCATTCTTGAACATTGCTTACCTTTCTGAACATGTAAGTTATAATATACAGTGAAAGTATTTTTAAGATTAAGAATGTAGTGGAAATGGGATAATTCACTAGTGATTGAAAATCTTTTGTTATCTAATACCATATAAAAATTGGAATGAATGAAGTATATTTTGTGAAGTGGGACAGTTGTACAATGTCAGCTACACTGATGATATGAATTGTCAGCCTGTGTAAAATCAAGCTTTCTGGATTTTAAAACTTGCCATGAATCTTTGATGTTACCCTCCCATATCACTAAAGCCTCTGTCATCAACACCAGACAATGTATCTCTGATTACACTGGGACTATAGTCATCATATTCTCAAATGTAAAAATGTGTATGGAGTTGTAATGCTTCATGTTTTCCCTTCAGCTTCGCTTCTCCATTCATTAGTCCAAGGCCTAGTCTCATGTAGGGTGAATTGATAAAGGTAAAAGTTGCTTGGAAGGAAATTGTAATCTTGTGTTATTCCATCTGTGTGAGCACAGGCAATTCATAGCATGTTCTTAATCTAAAAAGATGGCTCACCACACTCCACAGAAAAAATCTTGCAAAGTATTTATCTTTACTTTAAATCTGGAGCAGTTTACTTAGCTTACTGTTTTGTGACATTCTTTAGAGGTTCTATGATATCTCTTGGTAAAACTGTACCCTTCAAATCAAGCGCTGTTCATACACGTTCTGCAAAAGGCTCACAGCCGACACTTTGTTGGGCAAGTACTTCAGTTGAAATAGTTTTAAAATATTATACCATAAATCATTTCAGCCAGTTTAAACAAGGGGACATGTTAACCCTGAGCATATCGCTTGCTTTCAGAAATTTAGTCTTAAAAAGTTCATACTTTTTAAGCACACTGGAGGGTCTTGTGTTTTGATGTATTTCATAGAGATTTTTCTAACATGTTTCTAACTGTGTATTTATTCAACTGTGTTCAAATTTGCTCTTTCTTCTAATTTTATTTTTTTAGGACTTGATAACCTGCTTGATGAAAATAGAATATCAGATTTGACCCAGACATACCAGCTGTTCAGCCGGGTAAAAGGTGGGCAGCAGATCCTTTTGCAACATTGGAGTGAATACATCAAGGTATTTCAAAGATCTCTTATTAATGTCAAAATTTATGCTGTTATCACATATTTCTTCTATCAAAACCAAGAACAATATCATGTAGGTTTACGCATCAAAATTCTGTTATAAGCAAATATGGGGAGGGATGTTAATGCTTCCCCCCCCAGTAACAGTCACATGATGAGAAACAGCAAGACCTAAGTTTTGGTTTTAAATTTCTGCTTCGAAATTGCTTTCCTTGTAGGTTTGAACATTATACAAGAAGTTATTTTGGTTTGCTTTGCTTTTAAATAGAGCCACATGCACATGTGTTTAGAGTATGCTGGATTGTGCTACCTGTTGTGTTTTGCTACAAATACACTCAACTATTTACATATCTGGAAAGTCAGTGGAGCATGAGAATGTAGCTATTCTACTGCAGGTTAGCAGTACTACATGTAACCAACCTACAGCAATGCTGACGAATGTTTAAGCTATTTTGAACAGAATACTCCTCTTGAAAATAATCCATCATCAAAGTTATATTTAGATGCTTCAGCTTTGTTTTGCTAGGTGTAATATGCATGTAGTACACTGCCCCAGAGAACTTGCACTCTAGTGCTCTTGCAAGATGAAAGCAGGAAAGCTTCACAGAAGATATTTCTCTCCAGAGCTGCTAATTCCCGATGTGGTATTCTCTCCTGAATTGCCCATGTGTTCATCAACCTTCAGCACTAAGTGCACGACATCAGTTCATTCCAGAGGTGCCTTTCTGGCACACCCATGTCTTTGAGTTCTGTGTGGCGCAGCAGTGCCCAGCCCGTGCGTGTGGGACATAGTTTCGCCTCTGCCCCCAGAACCGAGGTGGAGTTTCGTCCTGTGTCCCCACATGCAGTCCACGGATCCATAGGCAGCTGGGCCAATTGAACAGCTTGGCGTGGCCGAGAAGGAATATCTATCTTCTTCCTTGCTCCTGGATCACGGTCCCAACTTAATCCTTGTGCTGCCTCCCACTCCGTAGACTCTTTTGTGATCTGTTTTCACACAGTACCTGGGCAAGGTCAGTTTTATGCCAGGTTTAGTGAGCTAAAGAGGCTCACAGAAAAGTCCTGATGCTGGCCCAAGGAAAGAAGCAGTTCAGGACAGGTGGGAAGATAAGGCAAGAAGGACCAGAACCTCTCCTTTCACAGCAGCGAGTTGTTAAGTTGGCTTATCATACCTTATGTCTCGCAGAGTCAAACCTTTTATGCTTTTGTTTTTAAGAAATTTTTTTACAGGCTTAAAAAGCTAGAAACCATTTTCTATAGTGTCAGTAAATCTCCTCCTTTCAAACATTCTGTACAACAGAATGCGTTAAAGTGAGGCTTCAAGTACTAAACTTTTACCTTGTGAGCCAGCGTAAGAAGCAGCGCAGAGACTGTGCCAAATTACTGGGGTGAGGGTCTGTGCTCTACTGTAGTCGCCTTTTTATGATTTCAGAGGTGCCACTTAGCTTTCTGTATCTCGGTTTGCCATTTGAAGAATGGGGGGAGTGCCCTGCAATTTATGACCATAACTGGTAGAGACTGAGAGATGTCCAAATGCTGTGTTGATGAAGGGGAAATTGTGCTAAGTGTAAGATATGATGGACTACATGATCTTTAGAGACCCCTTCCAACCCAAACCATTTTGTGATTCTGTGATGTACATATTGAATCCAGTGACCTTGGGCAGCCTTGTGTTTGTCTTGCTTCACTCTGAAATGTTACTTGAGAAAGCTCTCAATGAAAGATCACAGTGGATAATTAGATATTGAAGTGGAAATTCTGAGGTTTGGGAGGGATTTCCCCGCCTCTCTTTGACTGTTGTTGTGGCTGACATACTTTAGCTGACGAAAATACACCAGTGGAATACTGTTCTGCTGTTCCCGTGCAGATGTTCCTCTTTCTCACCTTGGAAAACTGGTCATTCTGTCTAGGGCGCTGATCAGCGTACTAAGCAATTGTAAATTGTCTGATAGGTTAAAATCCTCCCTTACAGGATATTTTGGTTCACTAGACAAATGGTATTTTATTTATTAACTTTAAGATAATAAATGTAGGAACAAGAAAAGAAAGTCAAGTCTGTCGCTGCTTCTTGTGAATGGGAAAGTTTTGTTTTATTGCCAGTCAGCTAGGTTGTTTTGCTTTTAAGCCCTTGCTGAAAAAGAAATCTTGGAGTGATGAGCAGCGGTTGAATTTCACCACCTGTTCCATCAATAGAGCTCCCTAGTGGATTTAAGAAAAATAGCGCAAAGTTTCCCATTGCACTTAACATTTCTGAGGCAGTTTCCATATAATTTCTTTTACATGAATCATGTAGTTCTGTATCTAACTGTAAACTTGCACATCATACAGTCATGTCTACTGTGTATTTTTTTTTCAGCTTTCGTCTTAAATGTATATAATCTTTAAATCAAACACTAATGTTTGAAATCCATTAATGTGTGTCTGGGTTTTTATTTTAAATTTCAATGCATCTCATTTTTTGAAAACTTGAAGTCATATAAGTAGCTCTGTAAAAAAAAAAAAAAATATTCTTTCTAATGATAAATTTTATAAGGGTGGATGTGTCTGTTGGGGGAGATAGGTAGCGCTCTAAAGTATTTTATTATCAAAAGTGTTTGTTTTACAGAACTTTGGGACAACAATAGTGGTTAATCCTGAAAAGGACAAGGATATGGTGCAAGAGCTACTAGATTTTAAGGATAAAGTGGACCATATCATAGAAGTGTGCTTTCAGAGAAATGAAAAATTTATAAACTTGATGAAGGAGTCCTTTGAAACATTTATCAACAAGAGACCAAATAAGCCTGCAGAATTGATAGGTACACAAATATTTTTCTGTAAAATATTTCAAAAATCTATAGAAAGCATGATAAGATAATGCTGCTGAGTGTGCCAGTGCAATAGTGACGCAGTACGCATTCTGCTTTAGGAGACTTGTTTTTGGGATATGAGGCAAAAGTTAACCTGGGAGCGTTGCGGATTCGAAAAGCTTGGGTGTGCTATTAGGCGTGCACGCAGCGTCCTGACGGAGCATGCCGACTTCTGTCCCTGCGCTCTGCTTCCTGCACGGTGCCTGGTGCTAACAGCTGCTCGGAGCGCGTAATGCTGGTGCGACGAGTGGAGGCAATGGTTAGGGGGAAGAGTAGCTGTGGCAAAAAAAAGGGAACTGTCTTTAATTGTGGTAGTAGAGGAGTTCTTCGGATGTTATGGATCTCTCAGAAAGGACTAAGTACAGCCCGCCTATCTGCCTTGAAGGCTGAAGCTGGGAGAGCAATTTTAAAGCATTCAGATACAAGGAGTTTAATAGAGAAAAATTTTATTACCTTGAAGGGGGAACCAGTGCTCATTAAGGGGAAAAAATAATAACAACACCTTAAAAATACTATTATTGGGTTTATCCCTGATCTGGCAAAAGCTGTTCTGACTGTTTTGCCTGCAGCGAAACTGGAGCTGTGGCATTTTACACCAGGAGAGGATCCCGTTCCTCGGTTGTTTGTTTTTCCTCTATACGTTCTTTTGCCTTTATTCAACTTATTTTGTGGCTTCCTTCTAAAACCAGCTTTATGTAGGACAAATTGCACAACCTAGTGATACAGGTTAAAGCCATGATAGGGGCTGCTGTCGTTTGTGGATTGTGGTGTTTCAGCTCCTGCAAAGGTTTCCTTCTTATAGAGAAGGTTGTATAAGGATACTAATGTGGCTTAACCGTATTTCTGGCGTTCTGAAGCTACTAACTTGAAAGCATTGCTTCTGTTTTAAATTTTGGTATGCTCCTACCAAGGAGCATGAGGGACATGGTAAAGGTCTACAAAAATACAGTCCTCTTTGTGTTGTTTGTTTCTGTTTCTCATAAAATACATTCATATGCATTGTACACTTCCAAAACATTGTCTTTCAAAAAGTAATGTGCTTGCTATGACTGTGACACAAAATGTGGGAGTTTCTAATGGATTAATTTTAATTATTATACTGTATTCATTTTTTTTTCTTGGGTGGTTCCTTTTTGTGATATTTTTCCATTGTGACAGTAGTACAGCAGGGCTCTATCATTCCACTGAACATAGGGATGGGAAGAGGGAAAACAGAAAATTTAACACTTATTACTATATTTTAACATATAGTAATATTTAACATATTGTAATATTTCAAGTGGGAGATGCTTAAGTTGGTTATTTTAGATGTATTTTTTTTTAAAGCTGTTAAACTGTTTTATTTATTTGTAGCAAAATATGTGGATTCCAAGTTAAGAGCTGGTAATAAAGAAGCAACAGATGAAGAGCTGGAAAGAATACTTGACAAAATCATGATCATATTTAGATTCATTCATGGTAAGAAATATCGGTTCACAGTTAATGCAATTAGAACTGTTTTCCTCTGTATTAGCAGAACTGCATTCCTCTGAATGTAAGAGGTCTTTTTTAGCATGAGTTTCTGCTCGACTTGGTCTTAAATTCAGGTTGCCTGACATCTGAAGGAGCATAGTAAATACGCCAGGGAGGACAAACTTGTCCTATGGAGACTGGGAAGTTACAGACATTTTACAGTCTGTGAGTGCAGACCTAAGAGTTAGAGCTGTTGGTGGAAGTTTTTTTCACGTAAATTAACCATATCTGTAACCACAACCTCTCCTCTAATGACAGAGAACAGAAAGGTTAGTACAGATTTTCTCTTCCCTGCCCACCTCAGTATGTCCTAGGTGCAAAGTACATGAAAACCCAGCAACTAATGACTTGTCTCTTCTCATTGCGGCTGAGAATGAACACAGAGGAGGGCTCAGAATGATGGGAGAAAACGTTATTGCTGTGTTTTGCTGCCTTTGAAATGCACTTCCCTGATGCATGTCCCTATCTGAGCAAAAACCTGTGCTCCTAATGTGTTAGGAGAATTTTTTTTGCTAGGTTGAGTATCAGAACAAAATATGTGGTTGAGTCCAATGGAGATGCATGGTCACTGTTTTGAGGGAAGTGGGACGTGTATGCTGGGCTGGAATAGGCAGGAACTACCCAATTCTGTATTAGTTTGTTCTGACACCTGTGGGGTTCTTTCCTCATAAAATCCAAAACAAGTACAATATAATGGGAAAGCAGACAAGAAACTAGTCATAAAGTAACATCATTTGCATCATGATTTTTGTCAAATGCAAAGGGTATTGGATGGAGATGGTGAAAGAAAACGGTATCACCGGCCACTTGTCAGCCTAAGATTAATTTCTGTTAATCTGAAACTTTGACCAACTCTTTTTCTCTTAATATTTTTTGTAGTACTGAGCTAAAAGTGTAAATTTATTTTGAGGTACCTAGTGCGTAAGAGTCCGTTTAAGAACAGGTGATAATTAGTAGTTAGGTTCTGGACATTGGACTTTTCGATAGTATCTTGATGCTGTTTCATGAAACAGCACTTTACCAGAGGGTGGGATGGAGAAGGAAGAGTATCAGAGGAATCGCTACATTGGAAGGTGTTTGCAAGGAGGTAGGAAGGGCTACTGTAGGCAGCGCAAATAGTGCCTTGAGTTATGGTGAATTTCTTCCTCTTAAAAGTGAAGAAACTGGCTGATATCTTTGCACTATTGATAGAAAAGATTTGTGGAAGCTCTGGTTTAAGGTGTGAAGGTTTGTGGGTGCCTGTATGACTTCTTTATTTCAAAAGGCTATTGGAAAACTGAGTAAGAAGACTTCTGTCAATTTTTCTTCACCTTAGGCTTTTAAAGGTTATTTCTCTAATGCATAGGAACCCTTTTTCTTTTTTTAATTTTAATAAATCAGACCTTTGGGGAAGAATGTTCTTCTGGACCCCAGAATAATTTAATGTGATTTGTAGCTGATCCAATGGGAAATACAAGGCAGCCCATGTTCCTGCGGGGGGGGGGGGGGAAGGAAAAAAATTTTGAAAAAATTGTTAAGAAAATAA